TCCTGGGTCTCAAGAACAAGTTAGACTGGGTTTTCCTGGGAAGAGGAGGCTGGTATTGACATGTAATCTATCTTCTAATGGAAATTCTCTTTGCTGACCAATCTCATGAGCTCTGTCCTGGATTGTGAACCTCTCCTCCTTGTAGCAGACCTGCTTCTGGAAGATCCTAGAGTACAGGAATAGGACGTGGGTACCTTGTGTTTACAGACCTCTGAGCGTGGACTCCAGCCCTGAGTCCATGTCATACCTTGTAGAAAGCAAGAGAAGAACAGGTCTTGTCAATCAGAGTTGGTTACCTACTATACTACAAGGCTCCTGGAGGCCCAAAGCAAGAGTCCAGGATGTGATGAGTCTTCATGGCTGTTTGGGCCCTGCTGCCTCAGAGGAGAACCTGTCCCGGGCCTTTCTGGCACGTAGAAGATGTCCAGATCACCTAGAGGAAAAAGGACCCTTGCTTCGGCCCTGTGTCCTGGATTTATCAAGATCTGCCACACTCAGCGTCCTTGGTTTCACATCTCAGCTGAACCTAAGGCAGAAGGAGACAATCGGACACTGCAGAACTGGGCTCAGGCAGGAACCACCCAAAGCCAAGTGGCTAAGATCCTGTCCCTGGAACTGCCTGGTCTGAACAAGGCCCCCAACTCTGGATTTGCCACTGTCTCTGACTGACCCTTCTGGCTGGAATTTCTGCCTCCGGATTTGGTCTGGGATGGGGGATTCTGACAGGTCATGAGTACATCCAGCCTCCATGCTCTAGCAGGCATTGAGGTGAGGATGTGTTTACCCCATGCATCTGCCATAGTGGGAGAGGGGGCTGCCTCTTCCTGCTTCTTGAGATTTGCACAAATGGGAGTTGGGCAGCCCATCTGACAAACTCCAGCTTTCCCCCCATCCATGAATTCTATATTCTCTCCCATGAATCTACAGAGGGGCTCCATCTCCCGGGCTCCGTTAGTCATGCAACAAACATTCACTTGTACCTCCATGTACCAGGCAATGTGCTAGGTGTTGTCAAAAGGAGTGAGCAAAGGAAACAGAAGTTACACTCTAGCGGATAAGAGGCTTATGATGAATAAGCAAGGAAACAAGACAATCTCAAGCTGAGGTAGTGCTATAAAGGAAATGCACAGGGAGCTGTGATAGAAAGTAAGAGAGGGCTACTTAGTTTCTGTTACCTATAACTCCAAAATTAGTGGCTTAAAGTACTCATTTGTTTAGCTCATGATTATGCAGGTCAGGAATTTGGAACAGTCTGGACTGGGAGCTTCATCTCTGCTCCATGTGTTGTTAGCGAAGGTATATGGGGCTGAAGAATCTACCTCCAAGTTGGTTTCTCTATGCCCAGAATTTTGTAGTGAAACATTCAAATATATAAAGAAGTCAAAAGGATTATACAGCAAACATTGTACTCACCACCTAGGTCGTATACTTAACATTCTACCATCTTTGCTTTATCTCCTATTATCCATCTCTTCACCTCTCCAAGATGGCTCTTCACTGCCTGACCTGGCATCTGGTGCTCCTTGGAATCTCTTCCTCCCATGTAGCTCGGACTTCTCCCAGCTCACTGATCTCAGGCTAGTCACCCTTCTTACATGGCTGACTTCCAGGCCTGGTAAGTGCCATACCTGAGGCTCTCTTCCATGGTATGCTATTGGTCAAGGCAGTCATGGATCAGAAGAGCCTGCGGGATGGGTAATACTGCTGACATCATCTTTAAAAAAACCCCCCAGCCAGGGGCACCTGGGTGGCTCAGTTGGTTAAGCATCCGACTTCAGCTCAGGTCACGATCTCACGGTTCATGGGTTCAAGTGCTGCATCGGGCTCTGTGCTGACAGCTAGCTCAGAGCCTGGAGCCTGTCTTTGGACCTTCAGATTCTGTGTCTCCCTCTCTCTCTGACCATCCTCCCCTGCTCATGCTGTCTCTCTCTCTCTCTCTCAAAAGAAAAAAAAAAATCCACCAGCCAGAATGGGTGGTTAGAGAAGCCTTTTCTGATAAGGTTGTATTTGGGCTGAGGGATGAAAATGAGCCTGCCTTGTGAAAAGCCAGGAGAGGAGAGCATCCCGGGCATAGAGACCAACAAAAATAAGGGCTTAGAAGTAGAACAGCAAGGCTCGCACCTCGACTTTCCTTTTCCCGTGTTCAGTCCAGCCCATTATCCAGACCCACGTTGAGCTGCTTCCTTCATGAAGCCTTCTCAGATACCTCAGTCCCTGTGGATCCTTCCTTTCTTCCTGCAGCGCCCACCTGGCTTGCACAGGTTGGCTGGGTGTGCACTGGTTGTGCACAGTCTCTGTGAGGCCTTGGGAAGTTGCTTAACTTCTCCAACCCTAGGTCTCTTCACTTGCAAATGAGAATAATCACAGCTGCCTTCCAGGCTCGCTGGCAGGAGAATCTTGATACATGGAAAGTACTTGGCACTTAGTGAACATGGCATAAAGGGCAGCTAGAATTAATAATTATAAACCCCAGTTTATATTATATTATTATTATAATGATTATAAGCCCCCAGTTTATACCATCACGTGTTCATCTAGTTTAGCAATTGTTTTCAGAGCAGAAACCAAATCTTTTCCAACTTTTTCTTTCATGGTGCAAGCAGTGTGCCGTGCCTAGATATTATGGATCAGAGCAAGTGTGGCACAGAGCTCTTCGCCGTGCCGTGGTGCTGATGGGGTCATGCGGGGCACAGGGATGAGCAAGACTCAGTTGGAGCCTTTTCCAGGAGCTTCCAGAGAGCCAGAAAGTAGCTATGCCTCCAGTGGCCACATGGGGTATCTTTTACATTTGGCTATGGTGTAGCAGGTTTCAAAGCACCCACACATCCGTATTAGTTGGCTGTGGCTGCCATAAAAAAGTACCACAAACTGGGTGGCTTAACCAACAGATATTTATTTTCTCACAACTCTGGAGTCTAGGAATCTGAAATCAAAGCTGAGGGCTTGGAGGGAGAATCTGTTCCATTGCTTTCCCCTGGCTTCCAGTGCATTGCTGGCAATCTTTGTCATTCCTTGGCTTGCAGAAGCATCATCCTTTTTATTTTTTGAAATTGTTTATTTATTTTTGAAAGAGAGACTAAGTGCAAGCAGGGGTGAGGCAGAGAGAGAGAGGGAGACACAGAATCCAAAGCAGGCTCCAGGCTCTGAGCTGTCAGCACAGAGCCCGACGTGGGGCTTAAACTCATAAACTGGGAGATCATGACCTGAGCCGAATGAAGTCAGATGCTTAACCGACTGAGCCACCCAGGCGCCTGAAGCATATCCTTTATCTTCCTTTATCTTCACATGGCATGCTCCCTGTGTGTGCATCTGTGTCCAAATTTCTCCCTTGAATAAGGATACCAGTCATATTGGATTAGCGCCCATCTTAATCACCTCATTTTAACTTGATTACCTCTGTCAAGACCCTACCTCCATATGTGATATTTGAGGTACTGAGGGTTGGGACTCCTTTTTTTGGTGGGGGCTGGTGGGGAACACATTTCAGCACATAAAACATCTTTGTCTCCTATGACCCTCCTCATCCACATCCCACAGTAAGCCCCTTTAAGGACAAGTACCACGTCTTGTCCTACATATTTGTGCCCTTCAAGCTTCAGTTTCTCCCCCTTCTTATGTTCCAGGCCTTTCCCACAGCCTTTCAATCTCTTGCCAAGCTCTTTCCTTCCTCTCTTTGCCTGGAAAATTCCTACTCATTCCTCATTTCTTAGCTTATATGTTACCTCCCCAGAGAGGCCTTCCCTGATCACCCTGTCTTGATTGTATCTTTCATGTTGTTTATTCTCTCGTGGTTTCCCCTTCTTCCCAACATATCTTTTTTTTTTTTATTTCTAGGAGAGAGAGGGAGAGACAGCGTGAGCAGGGGAGGGTCAGAGAGAGGGAGACACAGACTCTGAAATAGGCTCCAGGCTCCGAGCTGGCAGTCAGCACTGAGCCCGACGCGGGGCTCGAACCCACTAACCGCGAGATCATGACCTAAGCGAAAATTGGACCCTTAACCGACTAAGCCACCCAGGCGCCCCTCCCAACATATCTCTTGATTCAAATACATTTCTCTGTGTGATTGATTAATGGAGGTGTCAGACATTAACCCCTCCTCTGTAAGCACAGTGAAGGTGGGAACCCACCTACCTCCCATTGTCTTCCCAGTTCCATGGTACATGATCCAGGGTAGAAACTCCATAAATATTTGTTGAATGAATAAACGAATGCTACAGTTTTGTATCCTCCATATTACCTCACAAAGTATGGAGTTAGTGGATGTTGACTTAATTATTTTTGTGTCCTCTGAGAGTTAGCTCCTGGAAGGTAAGATTAGGTCTCAATTCTTTTTTTTTTTTCCTTCAAATGTTTGTGGGTGTGTGTGTGTGTGTGTGTGAGAGAGAGAGAGAGAGGTGAGCGAGCACAGAGAGAGGGAGGCAGAGGATCTGAAGCAGGCCAAGATGATGGCAGACAGACGGATGCAAGGCTTGAACCCATGAACCACAGTTCATGACCTGAGCTGAAGTCAGAAGCTCAACCCACTGAGCCACCCAGGAGCCCCAGATTAGATCTCCATTCTTTTTTGGATGTCTACCACCCAATCGCTTCTCTTTGATAGTCTATGTACTTGTTAGTCATCTATGCTGTGTAACAAATTACTCTGAAACACAGGAGCAGTAACATGTATTATTTCACAATTTCACTGCATCTCCAGTAACCGCCACAGGGCATAGAGTACGTGCTCAGCAATGATTTGCTTTGTAGAAGTAGATCCTATGCCCATCTCGTCTCCCCTCTGCATTGCAGGGTCCTAGCTCAGGATCTGGTAAAGAATTAAAGTGTCTACAGACGTCTATAAACATCTGCTGAAATGGGCTGAGGACAAAGGGGCCTGGACCCCGCCTCCCCAGAGCTCTCCCTTGGGATCAAACCCATAAAGTGGGGACAAAGACCGGAACCCCTGCGCCGCGGGCAGAGCGGAGCGCGCCGGTTGCTCAACGCGTCACTTCCGGGCTCCGCCGCAGGGAACCACTTCCGGGGGAGCGGCCCGGCGGCGCGGGAGGTGAGTGCGGCGGCGCGGCGGCCGGGCTCGGGCTTCGGGGCGGGGCGGAGTCGCCGGGGTGGCGGGAACGCTGGGGGCGTTGAGCTCCGGCGCCGCGGCCCCCCTGCTCCCGGCGCCGGCGCTGCTCCGCCGGCCCCGGGCCCGCTCGGCGAGAAGAACTTCCCGGGGCGCCCCTCAGGAAGTTACTCGCAGAGGGGAATTTGAGTCCCTGGGAGATGGAGGGCCTCGCCGGTGCCGCCCAGAGCGTTCGTTCCGAGCCCGGGCCTGAACCCAGCGCTCGCTGCCGGGGCCTGGCCTTTCCCCCGCCCCGATCCGGGGAGCATTAGGAGGTGCTCGGGCCCTGGAACCAGCCCGGCCAGAATTCGACTCCTGAGTGGGCCGCATATTGTTGTGTAACCTGGGCAGTCTCTCTGGTTGCCCCACTGGTCCTCAGTTTCCTCCTCTGTAAAATGGGCGCATAGCTTGAGCTGATGATTAAGTGAGATGTCGAGTGCAGCGCGCTTAGTAGGTGCACAGTGTATATTTGTTGGATGAATTCTTTTTCAAAGTTATTTATTTAATGTTTATTTAAAATAATCTTTTACACCCAACATGGGGCTGGAACTCACCACCCCGAGATCAGGAATCCATGCTCTTCCGACTGAGGCAGGCAGGCGCCCTGAGAATTGCCCCTATTCTTAAGATCTTACATTAGTGTAGTACATTTGTCATAATGAACCAATATTGATAAGTTAATATTAACTAAAGTCCATGCCTTATTCACATTTGCTCAGTTTCCTCCTAATGCCCTATTTTCTGTTCTAGGGCCGTGTCCAGGATACTGTATTATATTTAGTAGTCATGTCTCCTGGTGTCCTCTTGGCTATGACCGTTTCCCAGACTTTCCTTGTTAGATCGACTTGACAGTTTTGAGTATTCCTGGTCAGATATTTTGTACAATGATCCTCAACTGACATCTGTCTGATGTTTTTTTTTTGCATGATTAAATTGAAGTTACGGGGTTTGGGGAGGAAAACCACAGAGGTAAAGTGCCATTCTCATCATGTCACATCAGGGTACATACTGTCAATATAAATTGTCACTGTTGGTGTTCACCGGGATCGCTAGCTTGAGGTGGTCAGGTTTTTCCATTATAAAATTACTCCCCTTCCTTCCCGCTTACATATTGTACTCTCGGAAGAAAGTCTTTATGTACAACCAAGTCAGATAATCTACATAGATTATTTGGAATTCTCCATGCGAAATTTGTCAACGCTCCCCTGTTTATGTATTTACTTATTCAATTACATATGTCAGTGCGGACTCAGATGTTTGTTTTCCTGCTCTGGGTTATCATCCAGTACTACTCTATTTTGTTGCTAAAATTGTTAACCGTTTGGCAATGGGGCCCTATCCCTTTTCGATACCCCAGCACATGTGTGTTTTGTTTTGTTTTCTGAACACCTTCTGTTCCAGGTTCATCTTGTACGTTTCATGTCTCGGTCCTAGAATTAACCATTTCTCCAAGGAGCCTTGGTTCCTTTTATTGGAGAATGTATTCAGTGCCGAGACTTGGGTGTAGGTGTGATCATTATGCCCATGCTTCCAGGTCTTCTGTGCAAGAAACAGATGTGTGTATACTCACCTATATATGCACACATATCTATAAATATTTCTCTGTAGCCACCTGTATCTATATTAAGCTACATATGAGTTCATACTGATATCTGCAACTGTCGTCCATTCCACGCGGATCTTTCTAGCCTCCTCCTCTGGCCTATCTGTGACTAATCTAGCTCCTACCATCTACCATCCATTTTCTCAGTTGTTCAATTTCAGCATACATATGTGGTGGCTTCAGAATTGTTAGAGTCTGTCCCCTGTGGGAAATACTTTTATCAACTGGAATATACTGTCCGAGTGCAATTCCTTTTACCTTTAGTCCTCCAGTCTCCACTCATTTCCAAAGCGACCGAGGTCGGCACCTGATTCGCCCTGCCCTTTCACTGAAGTTGCTTAATACATTTGTAAAACATTTTGATTCAGAATGTCACATTTTGTTTCCCATGCTGGGATACCTTGACCTCCTCAATGATTTTTTTTAAAAACATTTACACCCATTAATGTTTACTCTCTGCTGTCAAGTTCTGTGGGTTTTGACAGATCCTTAATGTTGCGGATTCACCATTACAGTATCATACTATTAGAATAGTTTCACCTTCAGGGATTATTCTTCTCTCAGATTCCACCTCAGCAGTGCTATGAGCTCTGTCTTCAGAATATATGCACGGCCCCAGAATTGATCGCCTCCACTTCTGCCACCAGGTGCAAGCATGTCTTTTTGACTGAACAGCAGTCTTATTCTTATTCTCATCATAGCAGCCAGAGGGACCATTTTAAAATAAGTCAGACCATGTCATCTTCTTTGCTAAGTACCTTCGAGTGGCTCCCCTTATATCAGGGGGAGACGCCAAAGGCCTTATAATGGCCAGCTGGCCCTAACGGCTTGCTCACGCTACCGTTCTCCTGGATCATCAAGTTCGTTCCTGCCCCAGGACCTTATCCTCGCTGTTCCTCCTCCCTGGGGAAGTCCAGCAGATATTTAAATGACTTGTTCCTGCGCTTGCTTTTTGCCTCCGCTGAAATGTCACCTTCTCAGAGAGGTCCTTCCCTCACCACCGCATATAAAATAGCATTCTCCTTATACTCACCTCTGACATTGTGTTACGTGTGTGTGTGCGCGTGCGCGCCTCCATTTGGATGAAAACTCCCTGGCAGGAGTCCGAATAACACCTGACACATAGTAGGCACTCAATAAGTATGTGTCCAGTGAATGACTGTGTCAGACCACTAGAGCGCGGCATTCAGGGACAAGCCTCAAGCGTTATAGTAACGTTAGGAAAGCATTTGCCATGTTTGGAAATCGATGAGTAAGTCATTTTTCTTAACTTCTGGTAGGGGTAAGAGATTTCCACAACGTGTGAAAACCTCTGCTCTTAAAGCGAGTCTGGCGCCCTGTAGGGCTGGAGTCACTGAAGGAGAGAGAGTCAGCTGTGCCCCGACTCACCGGGAAGTGAGCAGCCCGGGCTTCTCAGCTCCTCCTCCTCCTCCCCGTTGAGTGGTTGAGTGAGGCGGTTGGTGGAGGCATCTGCGCTTGCTTTCCTGGTGGGAGCAGGCATAGACGTCGTCATTTACCAAGTATTTGAGTCAGGCCCTGGGACAGGCTCCGGGTGGACCAGAGCCTTGTAGTGAGCAAGTGAGAAATGTTAGACTCCAGACTCCTTACGTCTCAGATAATAAATATGTTTTGAATTTTGGCCTAGAACACACATACTTGGATGTAAATGGCTATAACTGAAACAAAGCTTCAGGATACAATGCTGACCCTTACTAATGTGTTATTTTCTATTGTCATTTATTTAATTAAATACAGTGCTGGCAAATGAAGGTTAAGGGAAAAAGTGCTGGATGCAGGTCTCACCCCCCAGTGGTTTCCATAGCTCACCTACTGGGTCACAGCGCGCAGCTGGAGAGCCATTGACCTAGTGGGGAGCACTCAGGCTCTGGCGGAGCCAGCCAGTTTGAACCCTGACTTTACCACCCACCTACCAAGTAATCCCTGGGCCACCCATGCAGCCTCTTCGGCCTCAGTCTCCTCATCCTTGCTAGCAGCAATGCCCACCTCCCCGGCCGACCGGAAGTGAATGAGATGCAGGCTGGGAAGTATTGTGCAAATCTGGCAACTGATCGGCTCCTTGCTGTTGCTGCTACTGCAGCAGGGGTGAGGGGACCAGCCGCCTCCCACTAGAGGTGTGAAGGATGAGCCAGGCTCATGTGACTTCTGTACTCGGGAAAGGAAGACCCAGAGCACTGGCGGGAAGGCGGGGAAGTCCAGCACGGGGGTGCAGGGGCAACTAGGTAAAGTTCTGAAGCATACACAGTATGTGCAGGACATTTGATGTTTCCCAGAACCTTCTCCCAACCACCTTCCCATTACACCTGTGCTGTCCTGTATAGGAGTGCTCACTTGAGCAGCCACGATTGACATTTTCGTGGCCTCCTTTGATCTTTGGCCGGTGAAATCACGGTTTCTACATGGTTGCAGTCACAGGGTTTATATAATTGTTTTCTTTTTTCAGCTAACCTTGCTTTCAAAGACTTTACACTGGCCTGATACACGTTGTGTGTATTTGCCATTTTAGCGAAGGGGGACTGCGCCACGATGCGCCCTAATCGGGTCAGCTGCTTTGCTGTTGGGCTCTTCAGTCGCTTCCTGTTTCTCAGTATTATGAATAGATTGCCATGAACTTTTTTGTACCTGAAGCCTTTTTTTCTTGTTTTGAATTGTTTCCTTGCTGTAAATTCTAGGAAGTGAGTTATTCAGTCAAAGGATATAATCACTTTTATGGCTCTTGTTATATGTTGTCTTATTGCCATTAAAAAAAAAAAAACCCAAAACGCATTATAGCTCTGAATAGAGATGATTGTCACTTGGCTCCTGAGAACATCACATCTCCAGAAGGTCGAGAGATGGGCCCAAAGTGTAGCTAATTGCTGATAGAGTCGGGCTTTTTGCCCTCACCCCTAAGCCCCATCTTTCTATTGTATTCCACACATTCATAACAGTGTTGCTGTTAGTAACAAGAGTTCATCTAAGTATCTAAGTTGAATAGGCTTGTTACAGCATTGGGACAAAGGGCATTTTAAAAAATGTATACTTTATGAGCCACCCCTGTAAAGGGATGTGAGCTTTTTCTTGCACCTTGGTGTTCATGTGGGGGTTCCCCCGGTGGAGCTGCATTTCCTGCAGGGAAGCTGCTCTGGGGGCCGCCCTGGAATTCACTTCGGGGCCTGCTCACGAGCCACCCCAGTCTGCCTGATGTCTGAGCGTCATACCTTGTATTTGACCAAAAATGGTATTCCTGAGCTCGAGGCCCCACCTGCTTCACCACGCTTGGATCCAGATCCTGTTGGGTTCTTTCCAGAAGTCAAATCCTTTCTGAGAGGAGGAAGATCTGCCA